CAAAATGAATCCGACCGGGGAACGAGTTCGACAGAACTGTTGATGTACAAGTGTGCGTGGCAATATCTTTGCTCTTCTCAATGTTGGAGAACCAGCGCTTCTGAATCACTCGAGGTGTTGCGCACGATGGACCCATCGCGAGGAAGAGGAGGAGGAGGAGGAGGAGGAGGAGGAGGAGGAGGAGATGGGGACGGAAAGAAAGGATGAGAAGGAAGAGGGGGGGATGGAGGAACAGTGGAGGAAGGGAGGAGTAAGAGGAAAGGCAGGAAAAGATGAGGAGGAGGGGGGGGTCAAAACGTATAGAAGGTGTAGGGGTAGGAGGGGAGGAGGAGGAGGAAGGAGGAAGGAGGGAGGAGGACGGGAACAGAAGCGGTGGAAGAGGAAAAGGAGGAAGTAGGATCGAGGAGATGTGGGGGAGGAGAGGATAGGAGGGACAGGGAGGAGGGAGAGAGGAGGGAAAGGAGAAGGGAAGAGAGGAGGAGAAGGAGGAGGGCGAGGTGAAGGGAGGGGAAGAGTGGGAAGGAGGGGGGCGAGGAAGAGGAGGTGAGGAGAAGGAGGGAGGGGAGGAAGAGGAGGGAGGAGGAGAAAGGAGGGGAGGGGACGCAGGAAGGGACAGATGAGGCAAAGAAGTAAGAGGGAGGGAAGAAGGTGAGATGAGAAGGTAAAGAGAGGGAGGGAGGAGGGTGGAACGGAGAGAGGAGGAGAAGGAGTTGTAGGAGGAAGGAGAGGAGGGGAGGGAGGGGAGGAGGGGAGGGGGAACAAAATGAGGACAAGTGAGCAAGAGGACAAGGAGGTGGAGGGTCGGCTGGAAGAGGACAGCGGGGAGAACCAGAGGAGGAACGAGAGGGAGAGGAGCGCTGGAAGAGAGAAGGACAGAGAGAACGAATCAGGTAAACAAGAGGAGGAGAAAGGAGGAGGAGGAGGAGAGGAGGAATAGGAGGAGGAGGAGGAGGAGCAGGAGGAGGAGGAGGAGGAGGAGGAGGCGGAGGAGGAGGAGGAGGAGGAGGGAGAGGGGGAGGAGGAGGAGGGGGAGGGGAGGGAGGGAGAGAGGGAGGGAGGGAGGGGGGGAGGGGGGAGGACAAGCTAGGTGCGCTCGCGTCATATCTGACGTCCTACCCCTCCCTCCCATCCCTTACCATGGCGCTGATTTTCTCTATCCGCGGACGCGTGTCGTAGCGGACCTGTGGCTCCGCGCGCGCGTGCGTAGTGGGTGGTGGTGCACGTGCGTGCGTGCGTGCGTGTGTGCGTGGTTGTCGTGGTGGTGGTGGTGGTGGTGGTGGTGGTGGTGGTGGTGGTGGTGGTGGTGGTGGTGGTGGTGGTGGTGGTGGTGGTGGTGGTGGTGGTGGTGTGTGGTACTGGTGCTGGTGCTGGTGCTGGTGCTGGTGCTGGTGTGGTGGTGGTGGTGGTGGTGGTGGTGGTGGTGGTGGTGGTGGTGGTGGTGGTGGTGGTGGTGCGGCGCGGTGTGGCGGGCGGATGGGCGCGCGAGAAAAAGGCCCGCGCTGGGGCGAGAACGCCATCCTGAACGACGGAGGCCAAACACCGATCCGAAAATGAGGCCCACGCTGCAGCGGGAGCACGATTCGGGACGATTCGGGAGCAGAAATGAGGCCGGCGCCTCAACGAGAGCAGCATTTTAGAAAAAAACACAAGCCAAAACCCAACTCCGGGGAATCCTGTGTGTAAAAAAACAGTACGCGGGGGGGTGCCGAACATCTTCCGGACGCCATCAGGGGAAGTGGGAGAGTAGTATTCATATTGTGTAATTGTGGAGGAGGAGAAGCAGGAGGAGGAGGAGGAGGAGAAGGAGAAGGAGGAGGAGGAAGAGGAGGAGGAGGAGGAAAAGGAGGAGAAGCAGGAGGAGGAGGAACGCCGACCCACAATCAGCCACGAGCACAACAGCTCGCAACCCAGGAACGAGCCCCACAAACCCACCACCAAACTCGCCAAGAACCCTCTCGTGCGCCGCCAAGAACACTCTCAGGGGCCGCCAAGAGGCCTCTCAGGGGTCGCCGAGAACCCTCTCAGGGGCCGCCACGAGATGTCGTAGGGGCCGCCAAACACACCTCTGAGTCTCAGGGGCCGCCAAGAACCTTCTTTGAGGCTGCCAAAAACCTTCTTGGGGGCCGCCAAAAACCTTCTTGGGGGGCGCCAAGCACCTTCCTGGGGGTTGCCAAGAACCCTGTGCAGGGGCCGCCAAAAACTTGGGGGGCGCCAGGAACCTTTTTGGGGCCGCCACAGAACCCTCTCAAGGGCCGCGAAGAACCCTCTCAGGGGCCGCCACGAGCCCCGTCTGGGGCCGCCAACGACCCTCCCAAGGGCCGCCACGAACCCTGCAAGGGGCCGCTGAGAACTCTCTCAAGGGCCGCCAACAACTCGATCAGAGACCGCCAAGAACCCTCTCAGGGGCCACCAAGAACCCTCTCTGGGGACGCCAAGAGCCTTCCTGGGGGCCGCCAAGAACATTCCTGGGGGCCGCCAAGAGCCTTCTCGGGGGCCGCCAAAAACCTTCTTGGGGGACGCCAAGAACCTTTCTGGGGGCCGCCAAGAACTTCTTGAGGGATGCCAAGAAACCTTTCAGGGCCGCCAAAAAACCTCTGAGCGCCGCCAAGACCCCTCTCAGAGACCGCCAAGAACCCTCTCAGGGGCCACCAAAAGCCTTCTTGGCGGCCGCCGAGAAACATCTCATACATTCATCTCGGGGGCCCCCAAACGGCGTGGTGACCACACCGTGTGATGAGTCTGTGGGGATTCTGGGTCACCGCACGGTCTTGGGACTCGAGTCCCTCTCCGAGGATGTCTCGGGCGACAAGGGCCTCCAAGGTCCCATAACCGTGCGGTGACGGACCGTGCGGTGAGGTCTCGGGGGATTTCGAGGTCACCGCACGGTCCGTCACCGCACCGCTTCGGGACTCCACATCACCTGCTGAGAAAACACTTCGAACTTCCGCCGGGGAAAGAGTCGTTCAACCGGGGAACGAGTCGCTCAACTGGGGAACGATTTGTTTCATAAAACGTGTGAGGGTGCGCCGACATGAATGGCGGGGGCGCATGCGAACTGCGCAACTGGGACCTTCGGCGGGGCTCCGGTGGGGCCACGAAACGTGCGAGGGGTGCGCCGAATCGGTGGCGGGGACGCATGCGAACGGCACTCATGGGACCTTCGGCGGAGCTCCTGTGGGGCCACGAAACGTGCGAGGGGCGCGCCGCAATGGGTGGCGGGGTCGCATGCGAACGGCGCCACTGGGACCTTCGGCGGAGCTCTTATGCGGCCACGAAACGCGTGGGTGGCGGGGACGCATGCGAACTGTACCACTCGGACCTTCGGCGGAGCTCCTATGGGGGACCACGAAACATACGAGGGGTGCGTCGACATGGGTGGCGGGGCCGCATGCGAACTGCGCCACTCGGACCTTCGGCGGAGCTCCTGTGGGGCCACGAAGCGTGTGAGGGGCGTGCCGAAATGAGCGGCGGGGCCGCATGCGAAATGCGCCACTGTGGCCTTCAGAGGAGCTCATATGGGGCCACGAAGCGTGTGAGGGGCGTGCCGACATGGGCGGTTGGGACGCATGCGAACGGCACCACTGGGACCTTCGACGGAGCCCCTATGGGGCCACGAAACGTGTGAGGGGCGCGCCGAAGTGGGGGGTGGGGACGCATGCGAACGGCGCCACTGGGACCTTCGGCGGAGCTCCTATGGGGCCTCGAAGCGTGCGAGGGGTGCGCCGACATTGATGGCGGGGACGCATGCGAACGGCGCCACTGGGACCTTCGGCGGAGCTCCTATGGGGCCACGAAACGTATGAGGGGTGTGCCGAAGTGGGCGGCGGGGACGCACGCAAACGGTACCACTGGGGCCTTCAGCGGATCTCCCATGGGGCCCCGAAGCGTGTGACGGGTGTGCCAGAGCGAGGGGGCCCGGGGTTGCCAGAGAGCCCTCGAAAAACGAATGAAACACCCTCGATCGAGTCTGGGTGGCCAGAGAACCCCGAACAGGAACCCTCGAAAAACAAATGAAAAACCCTCGATCGAGTCTGGGTGGCCAGAGAACCCCGAACAAGCATAGAACAACTCCCGAGCTGTTTGTTTTTTTCCCGAGGGGTCCCCCAGAGAGCCTGGGGTGGCCGGAGAGCCCCCCCAAAAAATCAACAATAAAAAACCAGAGTAGTTGTCTGTTTCTTCTTACAGTCGGGGCCTTGACCTAAGGAACCCGAAATAAGGAACGGGGCCCCTTTCTCTCATACGTTGAACTTCGATTTCCCATGGGAAACCTCAGGAAAACTGAAGGCAAACTGCAGAACAATCAAGGAACGCCGAGCCCCTCTCCAACGAAAAGGGTTCCTTCTTCAGGGCCCCGACTGTATTGTTCTCTGCCCCCCCCCAGAGCCAAGGGGGGCCAAAGATGCCCCGAACAGAACATTGAACAACTCGAGCTGGTTTTGTTCGCGGGTTCCCCCCAGGAAGAACCTTCGAACTATTCCAAAAACAACACGGGGACAATTCCTAACAACCTTTGTAAAACCACAAAGAAAATTTGAATGGGGGGTCCCAGGGAGATAGATTTTCCTGGATTGCGATTTGGGGTGTGCTTTTAGACCGCCCCAGGGGGCCCCGCGAAAAAATATAGTTGTGCTCTGATTCGGGTTTGCTGTGTCGGGCTGGTGTTCGGTGCGTTCCATCAGAGCTAACGGAGTGTGGATCGTCAAAAATCCAATGTGGGGTCTGGGACACCTCCCGATAAGCTCCCAAGCCTCCACCCTCCCCACCCCTGGGCCCCTGGGGAGAGGACCCCCCGAACGAAAAAAAAAGCCCTTGGGCTTTTGTTTCGGGGCTGGTTCTGTGCTGCGCGTCCCCGGAGGGCTCCAGGGGGAATCCCGCACTGATCTCCTGACGAACGAACAACACACACCCATACCCATAGGGGGGTCGTTGGGAGGAGGACTGGCTATGGGTATGGATGCGTGTCGTCGGACCCTGGGGAACGCTCCCGTTCGAGCGGGGACCCCCATCCGACAACACGCACCCATAGCCCTTTCCGACCCCCCTGTTGGTATGGGTGTGTGGTGTTGGTTCGTCATCTTCCGTGGGCAGCGATCCTCTCAGGCTGACATAGATCAGGCTGCGACAACAAAAGACCCACCATGGTAAACACACACACACACACACGAACTGGAGTGATGTGCTGCCTCATGATACTCGTTACCCCACGCGAGAAAGCCTCGCACGAGTGACGGCAAAATGGCAAAACATGGAACAAGCCGCTATTGCACGACATGCGGGCGCTCTCGTCGTTGGAGTTCCTGCGAGCTGCGTCGGTCTGCTCACGCAAGTGATGAGTGTGACTGGCCACACTGCAGAAGATACACCCCTTACCACAATCTCAGCGTCAATCTGGCGCCTCCATGGCTGTCCGGCAATACCCTCCACTATTCCACACCGAATCCTCCTGATCGGAACTGAACTATCTCTCTGGTTCTAAAGGCAGGTACCCGACTGGAGGTCTATCTTGTGCTGCGTCTGCTTTGCGACGCCACCAGTTAGACCTGCCCTACCGCACATACATAAGGCAACACACATTCACAACAAATGGAAGAGGGCCAGAACATCACCGAGAAACACAGATACCCATTGGTGATCCAAACCGCACATGGTCTGGCTTATGGCCTCCGTTACCTCTCTCTGTATTATCGTGACGCCACCTCGAATTCGCCGGCCCCTTGGGGTTCCCTCGGCGTGTGAAATGCTTGCCCCTCCCCCCCCAACAGAAAACCTCCCCATGGAGCTTGGTGCCGTCATTGAGGGGTGAGGGTTCCGCCACCAGGGCCGGCGGACTCAGCTTCAGGGACAGCGCATCCATCCGGTCGTGACCATCCGGTCGTGAAAAGCTCCGAGGCGGGCGCACATCGCCCCAGAAAGCTTTATGCGGTCCACAAGGGCTTCAGGACAGTCCCAAATGGGTCCATGAGAAACCCAGATGGCCTCAACACGGTTCCAGATGCTCCCAAGGTGGGCCAAGAGAGCCCAGGAGGACCTTCAAGAGAGCACCGCGTGGCAAGCATCGCTGATTTCCTTCCTGGATTCTTCATGCTTGACGTGCTCGCCTTTTCGACCTGCAGGGTGACTCAGACAAGCCAAGAAATCCCCAATATCGCCCCAAAATGGCCTCCTAAGAAGGGCCCGACACGGCCCCGGAGGGCCCCAAGATTGCCCGAAAGGCCCCAAAGACTACCTAAGAGACCGCCATTGGGGGTCCCAGGCAAAGCCCAAGAGGGAAAACTCAAAGTGGCACCAGGAGCCCTTCCCCAAAAAAGAGGGCCCAAAATACTATCAGCATGCCCCCCCAAAAAAACTGAACAGGCACCCAAGAGGCCCCCTGAGGCCCTCGCGGTTCTCGCAGCTGCATATGGTTGGGTCTTTCGTCTGGCGGATTGATTGTCCATTGGTTTTTGAATTATTCTCGCGATTTCGCCGTTTGAGCTTCCCGGCGCTCCAACGCGGCCCAAGAGGCCCCCAAGACCGCTCCAAGACGGCCCAAGGATCTCCAAGAGGGCCTCAAAACAGTCTCCAAACAGCCCAAGAATGCCCCAAGACTGCCCACGAGACCTCGAAGACGGTCCAAGAGGCGCCGAAGACGGCTCCAACAGAGGGCCCAGACGGGGTACCCGAGCGGAGGCCCCAAGAGGCCCCCAAGAGGCCCCCATAAGGCACCAGGAGGAGGTTTCAAAAATACCGCCCAGAGGCCCCCGAGAGGCCTCCCACCCGAAAGCAGGATACACAGCTTGCACCGAGAGACTCAACTCTTCAGACTGCACTCAGCCGAGCACCGAACAGATGACGAACATCCGCAGATGATATTCCGCACACCGGCCCAGCAGAGGCCCAGAACAAACCCCCAAGAGGCAGCTCAACAGCAACTGCTTCAGATCGAACGCTCCCCACGCACCGCGCCAGAGAGCAACCAACACCCAACAGCACAACATGGACCACGAACACATGGGGCACCAAGAGCCGTCAAACAATACGGCCGGCGGAGTGAGCGAAGCGCAAAAACCATAATTTCAAGACTGTTCGCTCTTACGTGTTCGCATGCCGCTCAACACGTATACCCCAAACCCTCGGTACCCGCCCTCTTCGCCTTCGATCGTACCCCCTTTGGGTACATCGTCCCTAGCTGCCGCGCGTACTTGGCGCAGCCCCTGAGGCAGGGGAAGAGACGACGGATGGAAGTGGGGAAGGAAAAGGACGGACCACAAGAGAGATTAGCAGGAGGGCCAAGAGCAGAAAACACGTGGAAGAACAAGACGGGCAGATCGGGCGGGTAGACCCTAGTGGGCTGGTCGGGAAAGCGGGCCCAGGCGGCCAAGTCGAGTAGGCCGGTTGCCGAAGCGTGGGGCGGGCTGCCGAAGCGTGAATCTCGAGCGATAGCGTGACTCCCAAGAAAATATTGCGAAAAGAAAAATCCCTAAAAGGCTGGAAGCGCGACGCCTGAATAAACCACAAGAAGTCCCACGCGAGAGCGCGATTTCGCCATACATTCTGAGGAAGTCCCGCGCAAGAGCGAGATTTTGAAATAACCTGTGAGGAGGTATCAAGCGGGGCCGTTTTTGTGGTAACTCGGGGGCCGGGGGCCCAATTTGGTGACACCTCGCTTTCCCTTGTAAACAAAAGGTGCGAACACCGGGAAGAACACTTTAATTGAACAGCATAACCGTTACCGGAAGGGTGATCAACAACACTTATTGTTTAGAAATGAGAAGTCAACAACAGCAACAACAAGCATTTTAAAACTGTTCGCTCTGATCTGCTCGCGTGCCACTCAGCACGTACATCCCCAACCCTCGACACCCACACTCGTCGTCTTCGGCTGTACCCCCTTGGGGGTGTATCTGTCGAACCTGCAACGTGTATTTCGTGCAGCCCCTGAGGCAGGGGAAGAGGCGACTGATGGAAGAAAGGGACAAGGGGGAGGGAGGAGGATGGAGCATGAAAGAGATTAGCGGGAGGGGGGCTAGAAGCAGAAAACACGTTGCAGAACCAGACGGGCAGATCGGGCGGGCAGACCCAAGTGGGCTGGTCGGGAAGGCGGGCCCAAGCGGCCAGGTCGAGCAGGCGGGCTGCTGAAGCGTGCGTCCTGCATGAACCGCGAGGGAGTCTCGAACGACAGCTCGATTCCCAAGTCCCCAAGACGAGCCTAGAGGCCTCCAAGACGGCCCAAGAGGCCTCCAAGAGCAGTCCTCAGAAGGGCCGAAGCGCCGAAAATCGTCAAATTCCTATGGGAAAACGTACATTTTGATCATATACTACTTGTCGGCCTTCACGGCGTCGACGACGGTCCCAGAGCACCCCAAGACCGCCCCGAGAGGCCCCCAAGAGGCGCCCAAATCGGCCCAAGAGGGCGCCAAGACGGCCCAAGAGGCCCCCAAGACAGCCCAAGAGGGCCCCAAGACGGCCCCAAGAGATGCCCAAGAGCGGGAGCCCGAACCGACAATCCGAGCCTTCCGCCCCAAGACGGCCCCAAAAGGCCCCAAGACGCCCCAAGAGGCCCTGAAGACGCCCACAAGAGGCTCCAAGAGGCCCCCAAGAGGCTCCAAAACGGCCTCACAACGGCCCCCAAGAGGCTTCGAAACTGCCTCCAAGAGTCCCGCGAGAAGCCCCCCAAGAGATCCCAACGATCACCGCACAAGTCTCATATCAACAACCCAGGCACGGTGGCGGGGTTGCGTTTGCGCACACAAAAGGACTCGCGCTATCGATGCCAAAATTGCTCCAAAACGGCCCAGGATGGCTCCAAAACGGCCCAAGATGGTTCCAAGACGGCCCAAGACAGTTCGAAGACGGCCCAAAATGGCCTCAAGATGGCCAAAAAGGCTTTCACTATCGCCCACGAAGTCTCCAAGAAGACCCCCAAGACATCTGAAAGAGGCGCACATTACGCATGTCATTACATTTCCATTGCGTTGTTGAACATGTTTGCACTTGTTGCCTTTCCCGGCTTCCGTCGGCTCACGTAGCCCCAAGAGCCTCCAAGATCGCCCCACGGCGCCCCAAGAGGGCCTCAAGACGGCCCCAGAGAATCCTAACACGGCCCTGGACGCCTCCCAATTCGGCCTAAGACGACCCCAAGACGGCAAAACCTGCCTCCAAATTGGTCCCAAGCTGGTGCAAGACGCCTCTGACCCAAAACCCATAACCCAGAGCCTTGTTTCTGTTTCCCCTTCCTCCTTTTCCTCCTCCTCCTCCTCCTCCTCCACCTCGGCCGCCAGGTGGGTTCAAAACTGTTTTCCAGAGGTCCCCGAGAAGCGTGCCGCGAGATCCCTATAGACATACAAAAAGCCTCTAACCCATAGCACATATCCCAGAGTTTCGTCTCTGTGTCCCCGTCCTCCTCCCCCTCTCCTCCTCCTCTTCCACCTCCTCCTCGCCCACTCCTCCTCTTCCTCCCCCGCCTCATCCTCTTCCTCCCCGATTCTTCTCCCCCCATCCCCCGCCTCACCCCCCATCCCTCTCTCCCCCTCCCCCTGTCCTCCCCCGCACGCGCGCCCCCGATTGGGCATCATTTGCAAGTCTTGCATATCAGGGTGCCTTTTTTTGCATCGCGTGCGACGTTGGAAGGGGCCCCCGGAGAACGCCGACTTCGGTAGTCTTCTCTTGCACGCGCCGCCGCACTGATGCGCCTGGCAACTGCGGGCTGTGAACCCGAGGTTTTTGCAGCCTCCGCACACCACTTTCGCTCCTTTCGCCGCTCGATGATCTTCCACTTGCTTATGCTTCAAATGTCTCGTGTCCGAGAACGCTTCTCCGCACGCCGCACACACGTCAGTGGCTTCGCGTCTGCATCGGTTTTCCGCTTGCGATTCGCTGCCTCCGCATTCCCCCGTCGCACCTCTTTCTCTCGTTCTTCCGCGCATTTCCGACAGAGCCTTTCCCCCGCAGCATTGTGTTTCTTCTGAGCTTCCGACATATCCGCCTTTTCGTCATATAGCGACAGGCACTTACCGTTCGCACATCGCACTGTTCCGACGCTCTGATTCCACTTCGCGCTGTCTTTCCGCGAGTTCTGCTTGGCTTTGATACCGCTGCACTTCGCGCAGTACATGCCACAGTGGCGCTGCCATGGTGGCATGTACATGCCACCGCGGAGGCCCGCTGTCAGGTAAAACAAATATAATCCCTTGATACAGTGATGGCGACAACGACGACAATGATTATGACGAGGATGATACCGATGATGATGATGATGCTTAGCATGATGATGATGGTGGTGATGATGATGATGACGATGATGGTGACGGTAATGATGATGATGGTGGCGATGGCCTCGGGCTCGTAACGTGCCTGGACCTAGCAATGCGAAACAAACCGCGAACACCTTCTCGGTTCCCAAGCGTGTGAGACTCGTCCCTCCACAGCCCCGAGGTTCCCCGTGCGGGCTCAGGGATGCCCCAAAAAACAACCCCGCCTCACCAAAGAAGTCAAACCCAGCAAGAAATATACGGGCCCCACTCCAACGCTTCCACCCTTTGGAGCGTCCTTTCTTTTCCGA